TAGGAAGGGAAAAAAAAATACATTCCCTTGGGAAGAACCCCAGCCGTAATTTTCTGGGCGGGAGAACTACTGCTGCATCTCTTGGGCAAATGTAATGGGATAGCAAAGTCTTTGGTGCTGAGGAAGCTCCAGCTCCTTTCTGCCTGTAATTCATGATCTCTGAGACAATTATGAGCAATGAAAAGGTATAAGTCAAAGGAACATCGAGCATAGCTAGATTTAGGAAAATAACACATTACATTTAAATATCCATATATATTTAATCTGTGTTTAATAATGCAAGGAATGCATTAGTCAAGGCTTAGGCAGATTACACATTTACGTTAGTTACAGAACGGCCTGGCCCTCTGATGTTCCCCAGCCTCGGCGCCACAGGAATGAAAACTTCTGGAGGAATGGAGCGTGTCATTGCAAACCCGGGGCACTGCAGAAATGCAAATGGAGAAATTGCAGAGGTCATCACAAAGTCAGGCTTGCTGCAGAAGATAGCACTGTGGGTGAACAGGAGATACTCAGAGCTCCAGCCTCTGGACTGACTTACTCCATTTGCTACCCTCTTGCAAGGCACTGCTGGGGGTAGGAAGTAATGTCATGGAGAAACAGAGGGACCAGAATTTCTATTCCAGCTGTTGTTTTATCTCAGATTTTCTCTCCTGTGCTTGGTCTTTAAGCCTAAATCACCAGATGGAGAATGGCTGCCCAGGCCCCTAGGGAACATCAGGACTTGTCTCCAGGGGCAATGCCTAGGCTCCAAAGCTCTTGCTACCATCTGGAGGGATGAAGCAGGTGAGTGTAGTCAGGGATGAAGGAGGAATGGCAAGCATGCCCAGCCTTTAGTGTAGTCATGCTCCTCCAAAAGCTGGAAAGGGAACCAGTGGGGACACGATGCAGTATCTGCCAAATACTGTCTAGGACCTGGAGAGAGGGAGTAAGAGGCTGTACTGCCCAAAAAGCATAAGAAATCCTCCTGTTTGATTTGGCCATCACTCAATACAACAATCATAGATCCCCAAGCACTTTGCCCTTGTCATGACTGTCTTACTCCACTTGGGCAACTCATTCCCCAGACTCCAGAGTCCTGCTCTATGCTCTAAGTTACTCCCAACCTAAAGCAGTTTTAGGAACAAAGTTACAGCAAGCAAATATCTCAGAGGCCATCTAACTCAATCTTCTGATTTTACAGATAAGAAGATTGAGGCTCAGGGAAGCAAAGCAGCCCCTCCAAGTTTCCCCAATGAGTAAGTGGATAACCAGGATGAGGCCCAAGTCTCATTCCAGGGATCTGGCCATATAGAACACTACTCTTCCTATTAAGCACTGTATCACTTTGGTGGTCTGTAGTAAAAGGAAGGCAAGTATGCATTAAATGCCAGACACTCTGCTGAGAGCTTGAATATATATTATCTGTAAAAGATATAAAAATATATAAAATATATCTTTAAAATGTATAAAAATAATAACCTACTCAGTAAAAGCTTATAGTCAAAAAGGAAGCTTAGCTCTAATTCTGGCTCTCCCACTTTTCAACTGTATGGGTTGGTCACTGCACTTTTTCAGGTGTCCCTCTGACCTGACATCTGTAGAGCCTCCCTACTTCATCCACTGAGTCACTGAATAGGTACTAGTCTAGTCCGAAGCACAAGTGAAGGGATAAGGCAAAGGAAATCTAGATGGGGCAGCAAATGAACGTGCCCCTCACTGATGCCTGGGAGAAACAGAACTGTGATGAAATTGCAGATGTGGCCCAGTCCATACTTTTTAGTAAGTCATGAAGCACGTCTATTTTCCCATCTGTACTCTAGAACTACTCATCCTAACTCCATCCCTATAACAGTCATTCCTTGAGTCAAAACAAGCCAAGCTGTCCCAAGAAAAGGACAGCAAGGAGTATCTCCCTAGTTTGTTTCAGGCTTCCTTTCAACAACTGATTCCCTCAAGATTCAAACTATTAAATATCTGAAGTCTAATCTCACACAAGGCTCCTGCCTGGGAGGGAAAGTCAAATTACCTCTTGGTGTCTCTTTAGGTTAAGCACAACTTTGAGGAGCAGACTCGTCCTAGCAGTTGGAACTTGGAAAAAAAACATGAGCTGTGACTCACCAGTCCTTTTGAGCCAAGTATTTTGAATTTGCTCAGGGCAGGAAAATGGCCAGGAGGGTGGGATGGGAAGGGGAGGGGAGGACTCATATGGCTAAGAACTATCTGACTCTGTTCCAAAAAGGCAAGTACAGGGGAGACTCTCAGAGCGTATGCTCCTGTTCCTGTTGTTTCACTGCCAGGAGTCTCCTAAATCACTGTGAAATGGCTGCTTTCTGCCTACCTCGATCATGTATTATGGAGCATTAATAAATAATGGAAGGTTGTAGGACCAAAAGGCGGGAAAACCCAAAGGGAAGGTGATGGAGAGGCATAATTTAACAAGTAAATGAAAGAAGCTATTAAATCATAGTTAAATTATGCTGGCACTGGCAAAAAAAAAAAAAAAAAGAGAGAAAGGATTTCCCACTGCAAAATGCTTTCAATAAAATATTGAAAGTTCTCTCCTGACTGACCAAGACATCTTCCAATTATAAGGATAAGGATTCTGTGACCTGTGGCTCCCATTAGATACTGAACTTGGGTAGGGTCTCTGAAGACAGAGAGTTTCAAGGTTCTTCTCAGTACACAGCTTTCCTAGGATGGGTCACATTAACTATTAAATGCCCCATCTGTGATGTAGCAGTTGCTAGAAACCTCCGGAGCCAGTTCACGAATTCTATGCCTATTTCTCCATTGAGTCCCTGGTGCACAATTAGGGGGTCCCACCTAAGGGAAGGAGAAATTGAGGTTTCCAAAGTTGCGGCTTAAAAATAACCCTTTGACTGTATGTACAAGCTTATGCTTTCTCAAGTACCATCACATCTATTAACAATTTTGCATTTGCTACCACCTGTCAGGTAGCAGGGGAACTCTTTCAGCAGGGAAGTCATATCTTGTTCACCTTTGTGTGCCCCAAACCTAAAAAAATGCACCTTTAATAAATATTGAATTGGATGGATAGATGGATGAATGGATGGGAGTGGGGGCAGGGTGAATGAATGAATACTCACAGCTGAGATGCTCAGAGAGGTTAAGTGACTTGCCTGGGACTGAACTACATAGTGTCAGTGTAGTAGCCAGTAGCCAGGCTTTCAGAATCTCAACCCTGTGCTCTTTCAACACACCATGATGTCTCTCTTCAAGATCACATAGTAAACTGGATCAAAGCCAGTATATGGGATCCCTGTAATTCCACACAAGCGAAAAGCAGGCACATTTTTCTCTGCTGGGATTGTAATTTTGACTGTGGCACAGACTGACGTTCAGCATTTGAAGGACCTTTAGGGTCTCTGCATCTGAAGAAAGTTTTTGGAATTCCCTGGCAGAAGATCCACACAAAAGCCAGGACGCTTTGCAATGAGGCTGTTTTGGGTTTTTTTGGTTTTTTGTTTTTTTTTTTTCCAGGGATGTTTGCTTTGGTCTTGGCAAAAAAACTTGCTGCCATTCAATTTCTCAGACATGCTGGGGCCTCAAGCGCCAGTGGGAGAAGCATATGTACCAACATGCCAGAGGAATACAGTCACAGCAGAGTAGAGTTGTTTGGACAGGCAGGCTTAGTGGTCTGACAAGGTGTGCAAGACACCCATCCTACTCTGCAGTTTAAGAAGGAGCTACTTAGCAAACGTATTGGAAGGCTAGGGAATAATTGTATCCAGATACCTGAAGAGACAGAATCAATAAGTTGTATGTGTATATACATTTATATATACACTTGTGTGTGTGTGTGTATATGTGTATGAGTATGTATGTATATACAGAGAGAGAGAAAAAAATATATATATTTATTTTAAGGAATTAGTTCATGTAATTAGGAGGTTGGCAAATCCCAAATCTGCAAGGTAGAAGAGCAGGTACAGAGATTGGTTGGGACATCTTTCAAGACAGTGAAAGGGCCTCAAAACCTCTCTCCAGGAAGTAGCGACTCAGCCAAACTATACTTGCTTAGAAGAATCGTCAAACCAGGAAAGAAGACAAGAAGTTCACTTTAGAGGGTGGCTCTCACTAGCAGGAAATATGATATAGCAGGAAGGGGCCATACACTTGGCTTTGGAATCAGAGAGAACCAGGCCCCACCACTTAAACTTTCTACTTATGTAATGTGAAGCAAGTAACTTAACCTCTTTGAGCCTCGCTTTTTTCCTCTTTTAAATGGGAATAGTCAATTAGTATTCGATTCAGCTATGAGTAATAAAAACTCTAAAACCCCGAGTGACTTAAAATGTTAAAGAGGATAAAAATAATCTGGATGCAAGGGGTTCTGGACGAGTATGGGGACTGAACAAATCTTCGAGGATCCAGGCTCCTTTTATCTGGCTATTCTATCTTTCTCCAATGTGTTCTCAAGATGGCAGCAAGCTCCAGACGCTTTGTCCAAACTCCCACCAGCAGGAAGGCAAAGCATGCATCACCCTCCTCTAAGAACACTTCTCAGAAGTTCTACTTAACTCTTCCTCTTATGTTCTACTGCCCAGAACTTAGTCACATGGCCATACCTCTATGCAAGGGAGTAGGGGGCTGGGAGATTTAGCTTATATTCCCAATGGCCGTGGGCCCAGCTAAGACTCAGAGGTTCCATGGTTCCATTTCTTCTTAAAATGTATGAGTATTGGGGGATAATTAGTCTGTCCTGTCTAATCTACAAGATAAAATGAGATAATGAGTGTAAATCATCTGTTTCAGGGTCTAGCATGTAGGTAGTGCTCAGTCAACAGTAATGACTGTTATAGTTAAGGTTGATGTATCTCCCCACACCCAAGAATACATTTCTATGAGAAGTCTTGGCAATACCCAACACTTGACTTCATCCTAGGGACACAGTGTAATACCATCAGATTTATCACTGTGATCAAAGTGAAGATCCCAATAAAGTCAAATAGTGAACTTGGAGAGTGCTCAAAGGAGATAAATGAAGATGTGCAAAGCCTTGCTAAACAGGACCCATGGGAGAGAGATTTGAAGAAGCCATCAGGGTTTTGACTAGAAGGCAGGGATCCTGAAAGCTGTGAAAGTCTGATCTATCAGAGGTGGCTGCCAAGCTCTGCTTTCCTCTACGGATGGCAAAATAAAAAGATGTGAAACAAGGTGAGAGGTAGATGATACTGGGGTCCTCGTGTATTTAGGTTTTTAGGCAGGAAATGGAGGAAGTGGAGGGGATACTGTCAATTTAAGGTAGAGCTGTTTTAATGGTTTAGTGAATATCTAATAAGCATTTTCTGAATCAAATAAGAAATTGTAATCTTTCTGGAGTAACAGAATATAGACATGAAGATTGTATTAGTCAATTAGTCACGGTTCTCCAGAGAGACAGAATCAATAGGTTGTATGTGTATATATGTTTATATATACACTTATATGTGTGTGTATGTGTATATGTGTGTGTGTGTATGTATGTATACACAGACACACAGAGAGAAAAAATATTTATTTCAAGGAATTGCTTCACATAATTAGGAGGTTGGCAAATCCCAAATCTGCAAGGTAGAAGAGCAGGCTGGAGATTCAGGGGACAGTTCATGTTGTAGTTTGAGCAGAAGGCAGCCTGCCACTGCCTACAGAGTTCTCTCTTCCTTGGAGGAAGTTTGTCTTTTTCTGAAGGTTTTCAGCTGATTGAATGAGACCCACCCACATTACAGGGGGCAATCTGCTTTACTCAAAGTCTACTGATTTTAGTGTTAATCTCATATTAAAAAAAAATCTTCACAGCAATGTGCAGACATGTTTGACCAAATATCTGGGTCCCATGGCCTAGCCAAGTTGACACATGAGATCAACTATCACAAAGATCTTCAGAGCCTTATTCAGAAATAGAATCATACCCACTTGGGGACCTTCTGTTACTATCAGATTTTCTTTGCTCAAAAAAGCTTTTAGCTTTTTGTTTTAGTCAAAACAAACAGATTACTAAAAGAAATACTTTGACATGTAAAAGGGCATCAACAAAGATGTCAGGCTCCAGGTATAGGTAATGAATTTTCCTTTCAGAGTTAAAATAAAAATAATAAAAACCAAAGCAAGGGGAGATGGAGCAGGGCATTCAGACTGGACAGCAAACTGAAATGTTAGAAAATGATTAAAGCCACAGGAGGTGGCTGATTGAGAGCCCTAACATATGAAAAGTCTGTTATTGACTAAATCAGTAGATGGAAATTTCAGAGAAATTAATTGAGTTTTTGCCCTTATTGCTCCCAACAGAAGCAGGGTAGCAGAGGAGGGGGTAGAATGAGTAAGTGGCCATGCTGAATATGTAAGTGTATATGTGTTTATATTTCAGACATATTTAAATGGAAGAGAGAGGAATGGGAGAGGAAAGCAAAAATATAAATATTTTAAAAAGCTTTATTTTCCTGAAGCAAAGAATGACACATGAAGCCGAGGGAATCTCAATGTTCACCTTGCATTTCCATGACTAGCAAGAAAGGGGAACCCCTACAGGTGATTTGAGGGGGTGCTGTGAAGGTGTCTATCGTCTCTCTTCTCCTCCTGTCATATGTCTTGGAAAACCCAGCACAAGTCACTCCTTTGGGTTGTAGCACTGGATGGGCTGGTACATGGAATAGAATCAGCCCTTGGGATTTAGGAGCCACAAGCCATCAGGCTCAGGAAGGAAGAAGGACAACGTCAGTGCATATCCAAGTCTGAGCAGCGTCCAGAAGGACTCCTCTCAAGCCCAGCCATGATTGTGCCTTGCTCAGTTCAGAAGACCCAGAGGCTCCCCCATGCAAATGAATTCAGTGACAGCATCTTTACCCACACAACTTGGCCAGAACTTCCCTCTTGGCCTTCCCTGCTGCTGCCCCTGCCCACATCCAGCACTCCAGCTCACCTTTCTGGTTCCAGCTCCCTGAACCTTTTCAAGGCTTGCCTGTCTCTGTGCTTTCCTTTATGCTGGGTCCTCAGTCTGAAATAATCCTCCCCACCCCTTAGCCTATGCACAGAGTTTTCCAAACCCAGTCATATGCCACCTTCACCATGAAGTCCTTTCCTTTTTGTTTTAGTAGTAAGAAGAATGAATTTTGTTGTTTAAAAAATGCAGTCAAACTTGGAAAGTATAAAGTAAAAAGTTTCTCTATGCCGTACTTCCCGCTATGACTATTGTGACTATTGAAAACAACAAACTGGTACCAAGGCACCAAGTTATAATAGCTGTGATCTTGTTATCAGTTTGGTGGGTATCTAAAGCCTTCTGATACCCGCTTCTAGATCACTGAATAAGATTTCTCCAACCTCTGAACTTCCCTGGCATTTGGTACCCTGTTGTGATGGTTTACCTTGTTCTGCCTTGTGTTATAGTTATAGCTATACTTACCTTAATTGATCCCCACACTTCAGTCTTTGCTGACGAAATTGATTTGAGGGTCTACATTTCCCTGTCACAGAGCTTAGGACAATTGGCTCCACGTTTGGTTTAGTCCATCAAACCTTTATGAACACGTGTTCTGGGACCTATTGCCCTGGGGCCAAGGATACAGAAACAAATAAAACACAGTCCAGCCTTAGAGGAACCTAAAGTTTAGGTGACCTTTCTTTCCCACCAAAAAACAAAAAGGCAAACAAAAAGTTTGCAGAATTGTTAGACAGTAACAACACGGAAGCAGCAGATCCTGAATCTGTGCAGGTAGCACTCATTTGAACTAATAATTGCTTTAGAAATATTTGGCTGGGCACGGTGGCTTGTGCCTGTAATCCCAGCACTTTGGGAGGGTGAAGCGGGTGGATTACTTGAGGTCAGGGATTTGAGACCAGCCTGGCCAACATGATGAAACCCCATCTTTTCTAAAAATACAAAATTTAGCCAGGCATGGTGGCATGTGCCTGTAATCCCAGCTACTCGGGAGGCTGAGGTAGGAGAATCACTTGAACCTGGGAGGCAGAGGTTGCAGTGAGCCGAGATCATGCCACTGAACTCCAGCCTGGGCAACAGAGAGAGACTCCATCTCAAAAAAACAAAAAATGAAAACACAAAAAGACAAAAAAATATATTTAAGAGCACTTACAAAGCAACTATAAACTATGAGCAAATGATACTGAGCTCATAGTGGGGAGCAAGGAATGAGAAGAATCGTTGGTTGAGAGGGGGTTAAGTTCGAAGACTTTTGCAAAGCTTCCAGAGGAGTGTGACTGAGTCTGGTAGTTGAGCACCTGGGACATTATTTATGATGCATTGAAGGATGTCAACAGCATTCTTCCGGAGAATTTTGCCTGCAAGGGAAGTCATTAAAAGAGGAGGCACTGCCACACCGGAATGGGTAAAGCCTTCCAGCTTCTACTTTAATCCTTCTGACCCGGGAGATGAATTTATTTTTCTGTTGACCTTTTCTGTGCCTCAGTCATCGATTATTATTTATATTTTCAACCAGCGTGCCATATAGTGAAGAGGTGTTGATGTCAGACTGACCAGGATTCAAATGTTGGCTTTGACACATACCCACTGAGGGCTGGGGCAACTGGGAGCCCAAATTTTCTCATCCAAAAAATGGGAATAACAGCATCTAACTCACAGGACTATTGTGAAGATGAAAATTAATTGCGTTTGGGAAGGTGACACGAAACAAACATTCAATGCACGGGAGCTATTGTTCTTGTTAGGCCCATTGCCTCTAACTAGAGGCAATCATTTTAAAGAGAAGGAGAACCCATGTCGTTCTTCTGTGTGCTCCCAGAGCTCAGAAGAGTTTCTGCACACCAAAAGCATTCTTTAACTGACACTGAATTTCCTGCTCTCCTTAAAGAATGCTGCTCCCAAAGGAAATGCAAATACACAAGCTCCTATACCAGCTCACCAAGGACGGATGGAGTCAACAAGTGAAAGGGATGGATGAAAAGTATCCCATAAAGGATGCAATGTGGATTAAGGGCCAGGCAAGGGATGAAAAGAGAGTACCAGCAAGTGCAGGAGTGTAGATGACCAAAGGATATTTTCCACTGGACTGGGCTTGAAATTCATTTTCCAAAACTCAGCTTCTTTTGTTTACTCAAGACCGGGTTAGGTAGAAAGAGACAGTTTATATTTTGTCCCATGGAAAGAAGGTATTTATGTGAAATATGACAGCTCAGTGTGCAAGAATGTAAACCACACAGCTTGTGAGATAATGTGGCTATGAGGCAATGATCTGCAGTCTGGAAGAAAATTGATCTTAAATCTTTGCATTGATCCAAATATTTGAAAGTAGTAGGAAGGAATATGCTTGCTAAAGAGGGGATAAATATGGATGGCTTGTTCCAGTTTCTTTAGACCTTACAAAAGAAATTTTACACCAAACCTCACTCAGTATACTTAGTTTACATAAGATCAAACTTAAGGGAGATGAGATCAATATTGAAGCTCTGTCTGAGATTCCATCTCTTTAATACCTTTCTCATTTCCTTTAGTAGTAGAAAGAGAGCTAATCTCTGTCTTTCAAATAGTTGTTTTGCATTTTTTGATCATGGGGAATTAAATTGAATTAGATGGGTCTGGAGTGGTTATTAGAACCATTACGTTTGTCATAATAGATACATATAGAGAAAACATTTACATAAGAAAATCAAAGCTGGTCTCATTTTTTATCCAGTGCTCTGACCTCTTTGGAGTTCTGACAAGCAGGATTTATCTGAATATTTCTTAAGATGGTATGTATAACAGTAAAATTCACCCCCTAACATACCTACCTAAACCAGCATTTCCTTCTGAAAAAAGAAAAAAATAAAAAGAAAGAAAAGCTGCGTAAAAAAGGAGATATTTTCATATACTTATAGACATATTTTCCATTTGAATCCTTATTTGAATTTTACTCTCATTTAGAATATAATTCTGAAATCTCCATCATTAATGCCAAGCCTGGTAATATTCCATTAAAAAAACACCAATAAAATACAAAAGCTAGATGTGAAGAGGATTATGATGTCATATTAAAAGAAGGGAAGGGAGAATTAAAATAAAAGATCTATCTGAAATGATCAGAAATGAAATTCTCTTTGGGATAAAATGGTCTCTTCCAGAAATGCAGTCATTTAAAATAAGATTATAGTGATATTTTATAAGAACTAAAGCAGAATACAAACTATCCTTCCCTGAATGAACTCACAGTTACATACAACGAACAGTAAATACAAATAAGGCATTCTTAGGCTTCTCCATTTTGCTTGTCAATTTCTCAACACAAGCTCCTGCATTAATAAAATCAGGGGTCTGGGTAAATGAGGCAAACTTTAGGGCCCTATCACATCAAAATCAGATTGTCCTGGGTATGGGGTGGGAAGATTCTGCATTTTAAAAAGGACCCCAGGTAATTCTAAAATCCGCTGGTGTTTGAGCCTCCAGTTTAGAGCATCTCTGGGAAGCACAGGGGGACCAGCACAGAATTCAAAGCATACTTCATATCCACCAGCTCTATCTAATAGTCCAGAGTTTGAGCCCTGCCTGTCTATTATTACTAGAGTGACCTTAAAGAAGTTACTTCATCTCTCTAAGCCTCAGGTTTTTTTCATTTGTAAAATGGGATAATTTGCTTCACAGGTTGGCTTGAGTATTAAGGAAGTGATGGTCCTCTATTAAAGCCCTATAAGAGGCTGGGTACCATGGCTTATGGCTGTCATTCCAGCACTTTGGGAGGCCGAGACAGGAGAATTGCTTAAGGTCAGGAGTTCGAGATCAGCCTGGGCAGCAGAGAGAGACCCTTCTCTATACAAAATAATAATAATAATAATAATAATAGTTGGGTTTGGTGGCACACGCCTAGAGTCCTAGCTACTCAGGAGGTTGAGGTGGGGTTATCACTGAACCTAGGAGTTTGAGACTACAGTGAGCTATGATCACGCTACTGTACTCCAGAATGAGACCCTGTCTCAAAAAAATAAATAAATAAATATTAACAAAAACAAAAACAAAAAAATAAAACACCTTACCTGATACAACGTATTTCTTATTACCATTATTGCTACTATTTGGCCACAAGTGTGATAACAAAAGAGAACTTTGTTTACCTGGCAACACTGCCACTGTCAAGAGAAGGAATATAGAGATGACAAATTAAGTAGACCAGAACATAACTAGGCAGTGAAATTCCGTGTGATCGTCAAATACATATTGAGAGTAAATATAAACAATTGGTTGGCACGGAGCTAAGATGATAAAATATATTGATGGGAATGACAAGGTAGAATTCAGTTGGGACAAAGCCTTCCTGATATGCAAATGATCAGATCAGGATGGTTGTTGGGAAGTGTGTGGTTTTGTTTCTCGGAGACATCTGGATGATAAAGACTGGCGAGACCTCTGACAGTCTTTGTAGAAGCCCCAGGGACAAAAATGAGAGAGGAAAAAGGAAGTTTCCAAATACTTGTGTCTGCAACAAAGAAGCATGGCTGGATGGAGGAAAGAAAAGTTGAAATGGCATTTAGAAATTAGAGCAAAGGGCTAGTCCCCGCGGTGCAAGTTTGTAATCCCAGCACTTTAGGAGGCCCAGGTGGGAGAATCACTTGAGGCCAGGAGTTCAACACCAGCCTAACCAACAGAGTGAGAGCCAGTCTCTACAAAAAATTTTAAAACTAGCTGGACATGGTGTCATGTGCCTATAATCCCAGCTACCTGGGAGGATGGGGAGGGAGGATCACCTGAGCCCAGGAGTTCGAGATGACAGTGAGCTATGATAGCACCGCTGCACTCCAGCTTCAGTGACAGAGTGAGACCCTGCCTTCAAAAAGGAAAAAATAATAGAAAAGAAATTGCAGCAGAGGAACAATAAGGAATCCTGAGACTAAAGTTGATTTCCAACTCTGAAACAATGATCAGAACTCCAAAATTGATACAATTTTAAAATATTTCCCTGACCAGTTGTGGTGGTTCATGCCTGTCATCTCAGCAGTTTGGAAGTCTGAGGCAGGCAGATCACTTGAGGCCAGGAGTTCGAGACCAGCCTGGCCAATGTGGTGAAACTCCATCTCCACTAAAAATACAAAAATTAGCCGAGCGTAGTGGTGCATGCCTATAATCTCAGCTACTCAGGGGGCTGAGGTGGGAGAATCTCTTGAACCTGGGAGGCAGAGGTTGCAAGTGAGCTGAGATCATGCCACTGTACTCCAGCCTGGGCTACAGAGTGAGACTCCATCTCAAATATATATATATATATATATATATATATATATATATATATATATATATATATATATATTTCCCTGATCAGAAATGATGCAAGTTTGGTGACTGAAAGCCACAGCCCTGCCCTCCTTGTAGATTCCTTGTATGTGTGGTTGGGGATGCAGAGGGGAGGAGGGTGCTATGCTTCTCCTGGAATAAAATCTGGAAACTCCAGGGACACCAGGGACAAAAGTAGCTGCATTTCAAAGGGCTCTGGCTTCCTTTGTGTCATGCACTTGGGGGTTAGATTTAAACCTCTGAGGATCTCTCCTCTTGGAGTCTGTATAAATTGATGTTCTTCCCGGAAGCTCTATGCTATGCACGGCTTTCACTCATTCTGTTCCCTTAGCAGGAATGTTCATTCTCTGCCTCTGACCTGTGAAGTCCCAATCATCCCCAAGGACCAATTCCAAATGTCAATTTATTCACCACCATCACCCTTGTCATTGCGTCCACGTCCACTCTCCTCTCTCTCTGACTTGTGTTAATGGTAGGTATCTGCATATGAATCTAGGCTGGGGGGATGTCTTTGAGGTCAAGGACTATTTCTGATTCACTGTGTGTCTCTCTAGATCCCTCTTCCACCTAGCAAAGATGCTCAAAATACATATACAAATGATAGCCCTTTGTCCTATACCTTTTCTGAGCTTTGGAATGTCTCTCTGTACTGATAGAACATCATGCAACAGACCCAACAGAGGAGGAAATGGCTGTGAGACTATCTGCCCATTATGCAGGATTCAAAGAAAGCTGTTTTCATGCCAGGAAGCCAGGGGATCATAGTAAAGGGCTGTCTTTAACCACAGACTTTTGCTAGGAGGGATCTTCCACTATTGAAGGTTGAGACCCTGGGACCCCTGTCTGATCTATCTCTGCCATCAGACCTGCCACTTCTCACATAGTTGCATATGGACAAGATGCCTCATTTTGGTGTGCACTGGGAGATCTGGCCTATCCATGAAACTCTCTCCATTGGTTGCCTGTTGAAAGGGCTCCCGACTGACTAAAGTCATAGAACAGACCAAATTGAGGAGGTTAAAAGAGATCACGTGTCTGAACATGGCTCCTTTGGACTCTAGGAGGAGTTGATCAAGTGTCACTCCAGTGCATATGCTGTTTTTATGCACAGTATGGCTTTGAATGTCCTAGTGAGTGAGTCCATGTTAACAGTGTGTTCTCAAGCAGGAATATGCAGCTCCAGCTTCTGTTTTTAGAAAGCTCAGAGATTTTTCGCACTGGAAGAGAATTAGATATCCAACATCCTCATTTCAAGAGGAAACTGAAGTCAGAGAGGAGAAGGGACTTCCCAATGGTACATATCCTGCTATTGGCAAAGATGGGACGAGAGCCCTTAAGTTTTTCAACTTCTCCAGCAAATTCCTCATATCTAAGAGCAACGCTTCAGTTTTCCTTAATAAAGTGCCCCGGATCCTCACATTCATCCTTTTCAGAGTGCAACTTCCCACTTGGTTTACAAATGAGTCAAGAAAAGAAAATCTCCTCTGTAGGAATGTGGTGTGGGGCCAGCTCACTTGAGTATGCAAAACTTGACCTTGAAAGCTGCTAGCCCTTTACTGTTTTTCCTGGGTGCAACAGTGTGCATGTCACCCCACCCTTGCTGCCTGGCTGTCTTCACACATCACCTTCTCTGAGAGTGCTTCTCTGATATCCCCACCCAAAGAGCTCCCCACATATGCACATCCATTGATTATCATGTCTCTTTGCTTTTTCAATTTCCATGATAATTACTGAGACCTAAGATGTAAGACCTATTTGCAATTATTTTGTTTATTGGTTGTCTTCTCACACCAGAATGTAAGCCCCATGAGGTTAGGAGCCTCTCTGTCTTATTCTCTGTAGTATCTCGGGCACCTAGAGGACTGCCTGGTACAGGGTTGGTACTTCATTATTTCTTACTATATATGAGAATGAATGAGTGAACTGAAAAGCAATTGACCTCTGGTTATGCCTTACAGATACAGCAGAAGTTGTCTGCACAGAGAGGAAGGAAGGAGATGATCTTTGATATGAACCCTGCTGGCCAATGAGGTCTAGAATGTTAACAATTAATGGCCACATTCTCCTAGTTAACTACCAAGCAAGAGTGAAAGGAGATAATATTGGACTAACCATTTGACTACATTGTCTGATTTATCCAAAAGGCAGTGTGGAATTTTGGTCCAGTAATGGTACATCATCTTTGATAATATACACGTGCACATAAGGGAGTGTACACACCCATATACACTCACTCACACTCTGCTATTGCCTGCTACCTATTAGATACTCCTGACAAAAGCTCTTAAACTAAAAATGACATGGTGTTGTTAAGTTTCTCAGAGAAATCCACCTATCTGTGGAACTCAAGACAGTAGAGGGCTGGTTTCCATAGAAAAATAAAACAGGGTCAAAAACCAATTTTATTTGTTGTTTTTCGTTGGAAATACATAGTTAATCCAAGAAGCAAAGAGGTGTTGAAAAAGATTCTCTGATGTCATTTGTTTTTTCTTTTTCTTTTTTCTCTTTTTTTTATTTTCTTTTTGAGACGGAGTTTCACTCTTGTTGCCCAGGCTAGAGTGCAATGGCACAGTCTCAGCTCACTGCAACCTCTGCCTCCCGGGTTCAAGTGATTCTCCTGCCTCAGCCTCCCGAGCAGCTGAGATTACAGGAGCACGCAACCATGCCTGGCTAATTTTGTATTTTTAGTAGAGGCAGGGTTTCTCCATGTTGCTCAGACTGGTCTCAAACTCCTGACCTCAAGTAATCCACCCGCCTCAGCCTCCCGAAGTGCTGGGAGTATAGGCCTGAGCCACCGAACCCAGCCTCATTTGTTTTTTCATACAGATATATCTCATCTGCATTAGAGGTAGATCCAACATTCAGATGTGAACATGCTCCAGCTTTAATTTTAGGTTTTTTTTTTTTTTTTTTTAAATAAAGAAAAACCAGCAATGCAATTTGCTTCTCATTGAACACTATACACATTCAACTATGGCTGAGAATTTAGAAGATACACATTCAAACTCCAGTTTAATTTCCTTTTTCCTGTTTGATTCCAAGCTCAGTAGGTGATCTTATAAGTTGACAGGGGTAACATTGCACCTATTAGCACTTGTCAACCAAAAGTAGATTGTTCGAGTTTCAATAAATGTTTTTTGAATTGGATTTAGGTTGGTGAGAAAATATATTAAGTCAGAATTCTTTGAGGCAAATTACATATTGAAATGAACAGTTTGGTGTTCATCCTGTGTACCATCCCCCTCAAAAACAAAAAGAGAGACAGAAAGAAAAAAAAAAAAGCAGAAGTCTTGCTTTTCTAAGCTGCGAGAATTTCTTCTGCTGCTACATCTGTGAACGCTTTACAAGGCAATGTCTACAGTTTGAGTTTTACAGCCCATTTTGATTGCAGTTTACATGACATCTGGGGCTCTATTTTTGGAGAAATTTCAAAGCTAGTGACTTCCAGTTTTTAATCAACAGGGTATTTATTTTCTACCCTAGCATAACTGTTCATGGCTCCACATTGATTTTTTTATAGGAGACAATGCAAAATGATAATCAGAGTGAATTAGTAATTTGATCTTATATCTGTCAAGACTTTTACCTGCTCTAGAGGCTAGAAGGCAATGTGCTGACCTCATCGTGTCGAAAAATTGAACACATCGTGGTTGTCAAGGACAAGACATTTTCAGTCATAAGAACAAAGACAGCAAGAAAGGCTAGCAAGGGAAGAGGCCATACAACCCTGAAAAGTACACAGCCTCCTGCCCCTCTGCTCAGAATCTGGGGTCATGTTTGCAGCCACAGGTGCCACATGCAGAAGTGTCAGAGGTGTGTGAACCAGAGCAACTCCATCTTAAATAGGAGCTGGGTAAAATAAGGCTGAAACCTGCTGGCTGCATTCCCAGACAGGTTGAGGTATTCTAAGTCATAGGATGAGATAGGAGGTCGGCACAAGATACAATTCATCAAGACCTTGCTGATAAAACAGGTTGCAGGTTGCAGTAAAGGAGTCAAAAACCACCAAAACCAAGATGGCCATGAGAGTGACCTGTAGTCATGCTCACTGCTCCACTCCCACCAGTGCCATGACAGTTTACAAATGCCATGGCAACGTCAAGAAGTTACCCTATATGGTCTAAAAAGGGGAGGCAAGAATAATCCACCCCTTGTTTAGCATATCATCAAGAAATAACCATAAAAATGGGCAACCAACAGCCCTCAGGGCTTCTCTGTTTATGGAGGATCCATTCTTTATTTCTTTACTTTCTTAATAAACATGCTTTCACTTTGCACTGTGGACTCACCCTGAATTTTTTCTTGCACGAAATCCAAGAACCCTCTCTTGGGGTCTGGATCGTGATTGCTTTCCGGTAACATATTTAACAGAAGGAGAGGCTGTGCAGAAATTATTTTCACTCCTTTCTACTGAGAAGGGAAAACACCAAAATTGAGCAGCCTGCTCCTCTGTAAGTGAATGAATAAGCATGAATAAGCACTTGCTTTTCGTTGTGGGTGAGTCAAACGGCCTGGCGTGTATGCAAGTAAGAACTAGAGCAGAGGCTGCTCACCTGCAAACTCACATCAGGGCTTCTTCCCAGAATTATGCTATTTTTTTTGTTTGTATGTGTGTTGTTGTTGTTGGCTTCTTTTCATACGGATTTGGATGAAGCTATTTAAACACATGAGATAGCAGCCACTAGGCCTGTATCTAAGAAGGTAAGTGGTTTGCCCAGGGTTACATGGCTAGTGGAAGAGCTAGTCTTTATAAGAATCTTTTACATAAACCAAATCAGGTGAGGCAGGATCAATAAGAGGGTGAAGTGACGAACTGACAATTTTAAGAGCTCCATGAAATGGAGGAGCTTGGAAAGAAAATTTATAGATGGTACTTTCAGGAGCCCAGCCACCTCCTGTAATTTCTGGCTTCACCTTTCTGCAAGCCCTCCTTTGCTCTGAGTTCTGTCTGGGCAAGTCCCGAGCTCCTGGAATGCATCTTTGCCTTCCTTATCTGGAAGCTAATCACTAAATAACAGGTGGCGGAGATTCTGTTTTTCATCTCTCTTTCTCTCTCCTCTTCTCTCTTTTACTCACTTCCTCAGGGCTATGAATTTCTGAATCTTAAACAGGAAACCTCCCTGATTTGTTCACACCTGGAATGCCATTCTATCTTTGAAGAGTGCAGAAATTCGAGCGCGGGAGAATCAAGAGAAGGAGCTGTTGCGTGAAGAGGGAAGAGAGAGGTCATCATTTAAATGTGAACACACACACTGAGACGCACATATACACACACACAGTTTAAGCTAAGCATTCTTTCTTTCAACTCCTACATTTCCTTCCTTATCGCCACTGCCAGCAAATGTCTTGCAAGACAAAGAGTATTTACTGTGTGTCACTTCAGTTATCAACACTCTGCACAAATAGGTTGACAGAGGAAACAGGCAAAGTACCTTTGCAGGCCCATTTGGGGTCGAAATAGCAACTAGACCGCCTAGAGGCTGCCAGAGATTAGCTTACTTATTGCTCCTGCAAACGTTAGAAGCAGGCTCTTGAGAGAACCTGTCATCAACATCCCTGTCCCCATGGATATTAGGAAGGTTCAGCCTTCTTTAAGGTTAAGA